AGTAGAAAATAGATCAATGCTTCAAGCAAATAATCAAAAACTTAAAATTCTAGAAGCAAAAAGAGAAGAGATTTGTGGCCAAAAATAAAATCAACTACAAGTATAGCAACAAAGTTCTGAAATGTTTGTAGCAGCAAAGTGTTATAAAAAATACTAAATTAAAATATTACAATTAAGAAAATCTTTTAAAAACCTCACGTAAGTTACTTTTCTTACATAGAAGTGAAAAAATATTTTCAATTTACAGTGTTAATGCATAACACATCCATAGATATGCAACACCTGAAGATGGTCTCAGATGCGATTGAAAGTACTTGGGAAAATAAAATTATTTGAAAGAAAATTTTGGAATTTTTCTTGATCAATTTTCTACAGCCACAAAGAAATTAATTTGTGGGCTTGAAAGGATAAAACTAAAATAAACATAACACATCTAAATTATTTAACCAAACACCATGCTTATATATATATATTATTTTTATAAAAAAATTTATAACATAAGTATGTTATAAAATCACTACAAAAATAGCCATTTTGTTTCAACACACTCTGTGTCTTATCAAGTGATGGTGTTGAAAAGAAAATAAATGGTTTTAAAAGTTTCAGATTAATTAACGATCCTACACTAGGGGGAGCATTGTTACAAAAGCTAGAATAACCAATCAAAAACGAAGTACAGAAAGATTCAAAAGCTTGACAACAAAATCCTGCTATTATAGCTATTTAGATCTTTAAATACGTGTAATATTAAAAATAATTTTTACTAACTAATAATTATAAATTTATATGATAAAATTTAATATTAAAATTAAAAACTGGCAATTTTTAAAATCCAAATTTAATCACTATTAAGTTTAAAAACTACAAAATTATTGAGAAAAGAAAAAAATATATATGTTTATTCAATTCATTTCGTCATTGAAATTACGTCTGACAAGACAAAAAGCTACAATTCGTCCGGTCATCTGATAATACATGTATATATTTTTTTTCTTTTCCGTTTTTATTTTAAAGTTTGTGAATATGGTCTTAAACTCACGCGTGACACAACAAAAACACAATCAGATTATAATACATAAGCATCCAGACATAATTAGATACATACACACACACACAAAAAAAAAAAAAAAAAAAAAAAAAAAAAAGAGGTGGGGGAATACATGAACAACTCCACAGCCCTTTACGAAAAAAAGGAGACGTGAAACTAACACTTATACACACACACAGTTAAATGTGAATACACTCTACATACACATAGACACCGATATATACACAAACATACATCCACAATGGCATAGACATTGAGAAATCACAACCAGTAAATATTTCAGACTTAAATAAATGCTAACCACTTATTGAATTATAACTTAAGGAGCAAATATATAAAGATAAAAATGTTTAAAATAATATTATTTAATATATTAAAACGAAAAAAACTCTAAAACAATAAATATCAATAAAATATATATATATTATTAATCATATAAGTTGATAATAGTTTCATTATATATTTGGCAAAAGAAAAACAGGATAAAGAAATCCACAAATATATACATATATATATATATATATATATATATACGGCAGCAAAAACAAATTAACACACATAAAAAAAAAAAAAAATATATATATTCATACATACATATACGTACAGAAATACACACAAATAAATATATAAACATAAACATATACGTACATATACATATCTATGATAACAAGTACATATGTACGTACATATACATATAAACCTAAATACACACACATATATACACATAGACTTTTATGCACACATACTTAGATATATAAAAAACAGTCATGATATACCAAAGTTTCCATACCTACACATACACACAAACTCATACATAATAGGTTCCAACACACACACCTATATATATACATACACAAACATACATAAATATATATACACACATACATACATATCTACAAATAAACATATATATATACATAAATATATCTACCTGCAATAACAACCACCCATATATACATGCATACATAAAAATACAACAACTTTCAACCAAATACATATATAAACGAACTAACATATAGATACATAAATATACCTTCAAACACCAACACACAGCAATATACATATAGTCTAACATACAAATATATAAACACATTCATACAAACAGAAATATACTTAAATATAAATACACATACACAATAAAATAGGACATACAGATATATATACACATATATATATATGCACACACGCATATATATATATATACACACATACATACACACATACACATACATATATATATACAAATATATCGTGGCACAAAGCTGAAATCAAGGGGCATCCAGTGAGGAACGAACTCATTACTCAGTCGCACCCAATCTAGTGAACCATGCTGGCCAACCATTATACTGCCGTGATTTAATCATATACATACCTGTACATACTCATACACATACACACACACACACATACACACACATACATATATATATATATATATATATATATATATAT